TATTATCTGTTTCAACCAATCCTGTGCATATTTTGAATAATTTAAATAAATAGGCTATTAGCTATATATTTATGTTTTATGTATTAACTTAAGAGTAACTAGATTTTATATATTTCATCAAAGTTATCTTAAGAATAATTTCATCTTTGGTACCTGGAACAAAAGTTACTTGAAAGGAGAAGAAAACACGGTAGTTTGTATTGTGTATTTGTTGTGTTAGTTCAGTTTTTGTTTCACTTTAACACTAGAATTCATCTTGATGGCTCAATGCACTTGAAACCACTTCCTGTTTTCTGCTCTATAATTAACACCTCTTGCATTTTACTGTGACATTCTCCTTCCTGCTCTCAAGAATATAATTCTTGGTTTTATCTGCTATATAATAATTCCTTTTTTCTCATATTTTCCAATAAGTCTCCAAAACTTACTGTTCATAACATCATTTTTGGAATGTGTTCTGCATTGTGTCCTGTAACATTATGGATAAATGTAAGGTAGGCTGTTTTCTGACTAAGAAACTGCTTTAGTGTCATGATAAAATCTGAGAGCTGATCAGACAGAGACGCATTGCGGCAACTGGGTGAGCCTAAATGAAACTATGACAACATGACTCATGAATTCCCCCTTTTGCTCTCTCATCTACCAGTATCAAAACAAAAAGGAAGTAGTTAAGGCCACCTCTTAATTGATTTGATTGGCTGCCTGGGTCTTTTTCATAAACATAAATCATAAATGATCAAAAGAGTAAGTAAAAGTACTTCACCCTAAAATGTAATTCTTGAGCTTGCAATATACTCCGGTATTGCTGTGGTCCCCCCTCCCCAAGTTGCTTTAAAAGACAAAGCACTTCCTTATTTGCTGCATGTCAGAATGGAGACCATTTCGTATGTGTGTGCTGTTTTCCTGGTGTATCTGTGTCAACTGCAAGGTAAAACACACTTTTTATATTTAATTAATATTTTGTTTTATGTTCTGTAGAACTAAATCAGTGAAGAATGGAAGAAGTGGAATATAGATCATAGGGTGAGGATAATTGACCATTATCATCTCAACTGGTGTAATTACTTAATTAAATAAATAAATATATAAATGTAAATTAATTAATTAAAATTGGAATTAAATACATAAATGTATCATTAATTCATTCAAATACCGATTCATTTTATTTAAAAAACATATATAATTATTTCACTATTTATTTAATTGTTTCATGGTCCTGTGTTGCAGTGCTTCATTAATTACTTTTATCTGTCAAACTCGCCCCAATTTTAATTAATTAATGACACATTAGTAATTATTTCATATAATAAAGTGTTTTTGATAGCATATAGCAATAGCATATGATAATTGAAGCAGTCTGAGTTAGCTAAATCAAGTGGATTATTTATTTTAATTGATAGTGACAGGAAAGGGGGGGCTGCAGGTCGGATTCGAACACTAGGCCAGTGCAGCAAGGACTCAGCCTTGTGTGGAAACAGGGTACATGGGGCACCGGTTTCTCCGGGCGCCCGTAAAAGGTAGTCCTTTTTGTAAGAAGTTTAAGTTACTGTACTGTGTAAGATTAGATTAGAAACAAAATACAAAGCAGTTTAAACCTTGCTGTACTGTATATGATGGATTACAGTACATCTTGTAAGATTGAAACTTCCTTATAACCAAGTGAGATACACAAACAAAGAATTAGGCTACAGTAATCCCAGCAGTTGTTGAAATGAAACATATAATGCAAACTGATATTACATTGTAATGTGGAAGAAGAGAGACTCTCATTGTCCATATTTGCAGAAGTGTTGCTGCACTTATAACTGCTGCTTACCCATTTCCTTAGTGGTTTGATCAGTGTTAGACCGTTCATGGGCTGTGTTCACACAGTTTCCACCTACACTTTTCTTTGTATAGTGTTCATGAAAAATCGAATGCCATATACGTATATGTACACTGAACAAAATTATAAACACTTTTGTTTTTGCCCCCATTCGTCATGAGCTGAACTCAAAGATCTAAGACTTTCTCTATGCACACAAAAGGCCTATTTCTTTTAAATATTGTTCACAAATCTGTCAAAATCTGTGTAAGTGAGCACTTCTCCTTTGCCGAGATAATCCATCCACCTCACAGGTGTGGCATATCAAGATGCTGATCAGACAGTATGGGTATTGCACAGGTGTGCCTTAGGCTGGCCACAGTAAAAGGCCACTCGAAAATGTGCAGTTTCACTGTATTAGGGGGTCAGGGGGGTCCAGAAACCAGTCAGTATCTGGTGTGACCACCATTTGCCTCACGCAGTGCAACACATCTCCTTCGCATAGAGTTGATCAGGTTTTTGATTGTGGCCTGTGGAACGTTGGTCCACTCATCTTCAATGGCTGTGCGAAGTTGCTGGATATTGGCAGGACCTGGAACACGCTGTCGTATACGCCGATCCAGAGCATCCCAAACATGCTCAATGGTTGACATGTCCGGTGAGTATGCTGGCCATGCAAGAACTGGGATGTTTTCAGCTTCCAGGAATTGTGTACAGATCCTTGCAACATGGGGCCTTGCATTATCATGCTGCAACATGAGGTGATGGTCGTGGATGAATGGCACAACAATGGGCCTCAGGATCTCAACACGGTTACTCTGTGCATTCAAAATGCCATCAATAAAATGCACCTGTGTTCGTTGTCCATAACACACGTCTGCCCATACCATAACCCCACCGCCTCCATGGGCCACTCGATCCACAACGTTGACATCAGCAAACTGCTCATCTGCCCTGTACAGTGAAAACCGGGATTCATCCGTGAAGAGAACACCTCTTCAAAGTGCCAGACGCCAGTGAGCATTTGCCCACTCAAGTCGGTTACTGACGACAAACTGCAGTCTGGTAGAGACCCCGATGAGGACGACAAGCATGCAGATGAGCTTTCCTGAGACGGTTCCTGACAGTTTGTGCAGAAATTCTTTGGTTATGCAAACCTATTGTTGCAGCAGCTGTCCGGGTGGCTGGTCTCAGACAATCTTGGGGGTGAAGATGCTGGATGTGGAGGTCCTGGGCTTGTGTGGTTACACGTGATCTGCGGTTGTGAGGCCGGGTTGGATGTACTGCCAAATTCTCTGAAACGCCTTTGGAGACTGCTTATGGTAGAGAAATTAACATTCAATTCACGGGCAACAGCTCTGGTGGACATTCCTGCAGTCAGCATGCCAATTGCACGCTACCTAAAAACTTGCAACATCTGTGGCATTGTGCTGTGTGATGGAACTGCACATTTTCGAGTGTTTTTTTATTGTGGCCAGCCTAAGTATGTATACATGTATATCTGTTCAGTCATCATGTTATATATACATATCATATTTTTCTTATACTATTATAAATATTATTAATATTATCATTATATACTGTTATTATTATATAGTGTTATTAACAATAACACTACCATCAGGTCATCAGTACTATTACCACCATCTTGCAACTAAAAACTAAAAACTTTGCACCTTACCTACCTTTTTATCTTTTTTTTATATTTTCTAAGTATTCTATTGTTGTATTTTATTCTATTGTATTTTATTGTATTTTAATGTACCTGGCCGCTATGATGACCCAATTTCCCTTCAGGGATTAATAAGGTCTATCTATCTATCTATCTATCTATCTATCTATCTATCTATCTATCTATCTATCTATCTATCTATCTATCTATCTATCTATCTATCTAAGGAACACCTGTGCAATACCCATGCTGTCTGATCAGCATCTTGATATGCCACATCTGTGAGGTGGATGGATTATCTTGGCAAAGGAGAAATGCTCACTAACACTCTCAAATATTGTTCAAATATATGGGCAGATTTTTGTGTCAGTAGAAACTGAATTTGAATAATTTAGAACTGAATCTGAATTGCTCAACTTGAATAACTGTATTGAAAAACTGAATCTGAATAGCATAATTTGAATTTGAATTTATCAGTTTGAAACTGAATTCCAATAAACTTGAAACTGAATATAATATCATGAATCTGAATTCACTTGCAACTGAAACTGTATTTGAGCCTCACTAAAAATTCAACTTTTTATGTACTTTCAGTTCTCTCAATTCAATTTCAATCCACAAGATTCAGGTCAAGGTCGTTCAGTAAGAGCAATTGAGTGCAGATACACAGAGCTCCTTTTGGCCAAGCAGCCCGTTTGTTTTTGACCATTTCCTGGACCTGTAGCAGAGATGTAACATTAGACACCAGTGGGGGGAGTCACTCTAGCTTGATTGACAGGTTGCCACAGACTTGTCAATCATAAGGTAGCCCCACCCTAAAGCATACCCTGCTTTATCGTCTATTTTCCTCTAAATTGGATCGGAAGTTACACCTTTAAATGAACATCATGCTGTGTTTAAAAGGACTTGAAACTGACGATTAAGATCAAAAACTCATAAGAAAAATGTTTAATGAGATAACAGTCAGGTGGGAAACTTATTTTGTCATTATTTCTGATGGAACTGAGCTTCTTTATCCAGTGAAGTCGCCCTCTGCTGGCTGTTGGAAAGAATGCAGGCTTACTCTGCACTCAATTGCTTCTTCCTCAAGGACCTTGACCTGTCTGTGACCTTAAAAGTGAATCTTGTGGATTGAAATTGAATTGAGAGGACTGAAAGTACATAAAAAGTTGAATTTTAGGTGAGGCTCAAATGCAGTTTCAGTTGCAAGTGAATTCAGATTCATAATATTATATTCAGTTTCAAGTTTATTGGAATTCAGTTTCAAACTAATACATTCAAATTCAAATTATGCTATTCAGATTCAGTTTTTCAATGCAATTATTCAAGTTGAGCAATTCAGATTCACTTCTAAATGATTCAAATTCAGTTTCTACTGACACAAAAATCAGCCCATAGAAATAGGCCTTTTTTGTACATAGAGAAAGTCTTAGATCTTTGAGTTCAGCTCATTCAGAATGGGGGCAAAAACAAAAGTGCTGCGTTTATAATTTTGTTCAGTGTAGTTAAACATAAATGTGAAAAGTGGTTACCCGAAAGCACACAAATATTGTTTTTTTTATCTAAGAGAGGGCAACAGAAAGTGTAGCGGAAAGATACCTCCCTCCAAGCATCACTGCAGTTGAGACATATGTGAGACGTACGTCTCAATTTGTTAACATGGTGGCAAAATAAAAATCAACAAGACGCAGACACGGTCCTTGTGAACCACAGGGAATTGTGTTGGGGAACAGCTGCAGCAAACACGACTGGCTCAGACCAAGGGTTAAATATAAAAGCATATGATTTATTAATTAAAAAATGTCAATATTTTGCACTCAGGTGTCCATACAGTCTTTGCAGGTTGTAGGTTTTCTGACAGGAGCCTCCAACGCAATAAGGAATTTAAGGCAGTCACAGAAGTACACCTTCACCTATTGTTACAGATTCCTACCTGGGTATTTACATGCTCTGCTTATCAGCAGGTGTTTTGTTCTACTATAGTGGCTTCTCAAACATAAGTAAAAAGAACATAACACAGCAATACAAACAAAATAACAAGTTACGCAAGTAAATATGCACAAATAATACACGAGTATATATAATAATACAAGAATAACTCCAAACCACAACACTAACCAAACCAAACCTACTATGCAGACTAGAATAGCTGAGCTGTAAGGGAAATGTTTCTGTGTGCACATTTGTGCCAATTATTTATTTCATTACCTGTAGCAAGCAGTTTTATTCTGGAGTAGTTTTGAAGAACTGACTTTTCTAAACACAAATGGAACTATATAAAGTCTTTCAGTGCCTTTAAAGACAACTCATATGACAGCAACAACATTTTGTATCTGTGTGGTTAGTGTAAGGTGACTAAAACAGCTTTGCTAAGGTTAGGGTTAGATAGTGGTTAAATGAAACATTTTCCATTAGAATAATTTAAAAGGGCTATAAACAGGCACATGGTCCTTATTTAAAATCCATCTTTCTGTGTGGAGTTTGCATGTTTTCCTTGTGTTTGTAGTTTATTTTATTTTATTTATTTTATTTTTGTTGAATTGCATGTGAATGAGTGAAAAGTAATGTGGGTAAAATAAAGTCCCCAGTTTTCCAAAAGAGACTGAATGGACTGTTATGTTGAAAATAAAAATAAAAACTTTATGTAACATCTTACTTTCATTGGACCTTTGTTAAACTCCTCTATATCAATTCAAGGCACTTTTAAAGACATTTTCCAACCCTTGATGAACCATGATAAGCTGAAGGTGCTTCTTCATTTCAACAGATGATCCAGTTAGTTAGACATATAGTAGGAATGGACTAACATTCAGTATTGACCAAATAATCATATATTGTGTGTAATTATTATTGTATTATATGTGTTTTTACAGGGTCCAGTGCTGAGACTCCTGTGTTTGTGCAGAAGGGAAATGATGTTCTTCTGAATGTCGAGAAAGCTGATGTTGTTCAGGACATTTTTTCTGTTGTGTGGAAGCTTAATGAAAAGGATGTTTTAATAAGATTTTCACCTGGTAGAGAACCAATAGTCCTCTCTAATTACACTGGAAGAGTTGAGTTTTCTGTCAATAATTATTCTCTGAAAGTGAAGAATCTACAAGAGACAGACAGTGGAGTTTATACTGCACGAGTGACAAGGGATATAGAGGAACTAACTGAATACAATGTCACAGTTCAAGGTAGGTTTGTGAACATTTCAGACACTAATAGAGAGTTTCTGCTGTCATGTTTCTAAAACATTTCACACAAACCTTCCATCCTCAGATGCAGTGTCTCCAGTTAAACTGAAGGTGGACTCTGTGTCCAGAAGCTCAGACTCCTGTAACCTCACTGTGACCTGCAATACACAGGACTCTCACATCAACAGCACTATTAGATGTGACACCAAAACCTGCAGTCAGGAGGGAGGAGAGCAATCAGAGGTCACAACATCTGGTGCTTCTCTCCATGTCTACCTGGTGAATCACTCAATCATTTGTAACCATAGCAACCAGGTCAGCTGGACCAAAGACATTGAAATGACTGAACATTTCTGCACTCAACATGATGGTAATACTGAAAAACAAAATGACTAATTGATAATAATGCACAGATTGGAATTAGATTTAACTGACTGTAAGAATTTTGTTTTTAAAGTAAATAAGTTATGAACATGAATAATCCACCCTGTGTGGCTGAAGGGTTGAAATACAAACTAAAGTAGAAAGTACAGAAAGGAAGAGAGTTCTGGTGGCCAAAATTACCTCACTGAGTTGAACAATTAAGTGTAGAATTTTCGGTGCAAAACAAAAGTATGTTTGTTTTCATCTAAACATTACCTATTACTGTAAACCACTGTACACAGTATTTATGTTGTTTGACTTAAGCCAGGCATCATTTTCATACAGTGTCACAGTTCAAGGTAGGTTTGTGAACATTTCAGACACTAATAGAGAGTTTCTGCTGCCATGTTTCTAAAACATTTCACACAAACCTTCCATCCTCAGATGCAGTGTCTCCAGTTGAACTGAAGGTGGACTCTGTGTCCAACAGCTCAGACTCCTGTAACCTCACTGTGACCTGCAGTACACAGGACTCTCACATCAGCAGCACTTTTAGATGTGACACCAAAACCTGCAGTCAGGAGGGAGGAGAGCAATCAAGGGTCACAACATCTGGGGCTTCTCTCCATGTCTACCTGGTGGATGGCTCAATCATTTGTAACCATGGCAACCAGGTCAACTGGACCAAAGACATTGAAATGACTGAACATCTCTGCCCTCAACATGCTGGTAAGACTGAAAGACAAACCCCTTGCTGATAATAATGTACAGTTTGGAATTATATTTAACTGATTGTAAGCGTTTTGTTTTTAAAGTAAATAAGTAATAAACATGAATAATCCACCCTGTGTGGCTGAAGGGTTGAAATACAAACTACAGTAGAAAGTACAGAAAGGAAGAGAGTTCTGGTGGCCAAAATGGCTTCACTGAGTTGAACAATTAAGTGTAGAATTTTCGGTGCAAAACAAAAGTATGTTTGTTTTCATCTAAACATTACCATGACTAAAGCCAGGCATCATTTTATTTTTTATTAAAAAATTTTCGATTTTCTAGATTTTCTAATCTGGCTTTTGTTTTTCTTTCCAGTTGCTGAACAACCCCACAACAACATCATTGCCATTGTCATTGTCATGGTGCCTGTTGCAATTGTTTTTATCATCATTGTTGCTGCGTTTTTTTATCTTCGAAAGAGAAGAACATGTCCAGGTGTGCATTTTAATATTGAATTGCAAAATAAAATCTATAAATGCTATTTGTTTATCATCTATATACACTCTCCCTTTATTAGAAAATGAAATTACAGGAATCATATAATTAACCCTTCATACAGTTCACAGTATGGGAATACACAATTGTTCACTCTTTACCATAGTCATTCTTATATGTAGTTGTTTTTTTATGTGATTATTGCTTATTACAAATTAGTCAATTACCAGAACTGATTTTTCACTGTAGAAAAACGAGACAATCCTAGAGTTAGTACGATCTTGGTTTAGCCCATTTACTCTTAGCATCTCGTGGCCAGATCTCAGGTGAGATCCCAGGGGGAGGAAATGGGACATCAGCTCTAGGAATCACTGGCATCACAATAAATACAAATCCTAAACATAGAAGCTTTAAAGTGTGCTGCTGTGTGGAGTTATTTAGACACATCCAAAATCTGGAATCAATGTATAGATGCAGCTAAAGTTATATAAATGTATTGTGGTTAAATAGTAGAAGTAAAGCTCTCAAAATGAAACGTAAATTAAAGCAACACGTTTTATTTATGACCTGCAGATAAACGAGAGAACACCGAAAATACCATATATGCAGTTCCAGAGGTAAGTCACATTTTTTTTAGCATCACATAATTAACCAGACAAACCAGGGAACAGAATTTTTCAGATTTTAAATTATTAGCAATTGTGACTGGATTTGAGGAAACAGGCCAAATAAAGAAATGTTTTCAGAATCAAAAGTTGGAGCCTCACATACTTCTATTGGCTACCCCTGTCCGCTCCAGTCACTATACATTTTACTGTCAAGGTGGTGATATTTACTGTACATGACCTGTGACTCCTCGCGACTGACTTCTGCATCTACCTGCTGTTCCAGGTCGTGTTGCTTTCTCCCACATGCACACGTCACTGGTTGTTCTGCTTCCTTGTGCTCAAATGTCCTGCTTCTGACCAGATAAACCTGATGATGCACCATCCACTCAAACTGCACTGTGTTTCTTTATTCTGCTCACGTGTTGTTTGCTTGTCTTTAATTATAGTTTTTGATGCAGTTTTAGAAACAAAAGCTCAATTTCTGAGAATACTGTAAGTGCCACAAACACTAAAACAGCAAATACATGTTCCAAAAGGTGTTGTGTTCTCAAAACTCTTCATACAATTATTAATTAAGAAAAAAGAGCCAATACTGCAACAATTTCTTTTACTTTAAGTCCTGTATTTTCTTCTCTGTTTGCTTCTGTTTGTTGGCTCACATTAGGCAACACAGGCAATGTGACTTCATACTGAGCCACAGATGTTGTACTTCTGCATATTCTTACACACTGAATGTTGAGAATATTGTGAGCAGAAGACTCTTTTGTGAAATCTGCACTCAAGAAGAGAAATTGTGTAATTTTTTATAAATGCAACGTACTGCATGTGTTGTCAAAGCCGTGTGAATGCTTTCTTTATTTGCTTGAGTTCTAGTTTCTGTGTGTTGTAATTGTCACATCTTTTTGGACACAGTGAAATAATGTTCAGTGCCTTACTGCTCTTGATGAAAAATGCCTAAAAATGTGTTTTACAGCTGTTTTATACATTTTAGATAAAATCACAAATTGATTATAATGTTATGAAAATCATTCTTCTCACTTTTGTGGCCTATTATACATTTTGTAGTTTTTGATGGATATCTGTTAATAGTGAGATTACCTCACATGTTTATGCAGTATAACAACACCATTAGAAATACAGTGTAAAGTAAAAATAGCATCAACAACAACAACAACCTTTACTTTAACCTTTAAAAATGTTGTATGTTATGTATTTTGCAGATGGAAACTGTGGCCCAGCCTCCAAATCCAACTATTGATGCTTCAGATCCTTCTACACTGTACTCCTTGGTGGGAACTCACACTGGACCGACTGAGACTAGAGGCAACACTTTACCAGAGAGCTTGTATGCTGAGGTAGAAAATACTGCCAGGTCCTGAAACAGTTCATCAAGAAGTGTCCACATACTGCAGTTTCCTGTTTGTATGCTGGTGACACTGGATGCACCCACCGTTACACCTTGTACAGTATGTATCATAGTTTACATACAGAGAGTTGAAATTTCCACTTATGTGACCTGTTCTACTTTAAACCGAATAAGGAAATGTTACTAAGCATCACACACATTCAGAAGTTCCTCTTTAAATTCATCATTAGGTCCTATATGAATTCAAACCTCATGAAGAGCCGTTTTAGTATCAATTATGGAAGGAAGCCTCAGCTTGGGGACCTGGGGATCACTGCAGATCGTTTAAAAGCTTCAGAACAATTATATTATGTATATATTTGTATTTTTGTTATATTCTTTGTAAATTATATGTCATTGTTTACAATACTTAATAAACTTTTGTTATGTAGATTAGTTTGAAGCTTGTATATTGACAACCAAAGACAATTGGAACAGAATTCAATGTAAATAATTTCCTGTCAGGGATATTATTCTAGGTACTTGAATAGTTTATTGTTTATAAAAACAGACAAATATTAATACAAAATATTCAACTGAAAATCCCATTTAAAATCAAATGCTTTATCCTTGTAGAGTTGAAAAACATTTCAATAATTGTTCCGCTCAGTTCATAATTGTTATTCATTGTTGTTGTGCATTCAGTGTATCAATGGTCCCTCCGATGACTCTGACGAGCTCTGATCGATTTCTTGCTGAAAAACTCAAAATATTAGATTCAGATTGGATTAAACTTTATTGTCATTGTCATTGTGCACAAGTACTGAGACAATGAAATGCAGTTTAACAGTATAAAGTAAGTAAAAAGAGATCAGTGACACAAGATCTTTTGACTTCATAAATTCATAAAAGATAATTTTACAGCTTTAACTCGTGTCCAATAATGGTGTATGTACCAGACAGTGCTTTGCTTAGTTAAAGAAAAAGATTAAATATTGTCAATTATCAGTGTTTTGCTCACATTAACATTGCATTTTATTAAATGTACAGATATTAAATAAATTGTATGCTGTTGTTCCTTTTTCAATATAATATAAAAGCATTTTCTATCATGGTCATCTCTGTACAATCATTTTATTTACAAATGTAGCGCAGTCATTATTGGGTAGAGTAAATGGGTAATCAAGAAAAATAACAGCACTTGTTTTTTTTCATTTCCCTTCTGAAACATTTTTTTACAAATATTTTAAGATTGTAGACTTGGACATGCACAGTTCGAATAAAACAGGGACTCACTCACTCATAAAACAACTGCTCTATAATTCTGCTAATGGTTAGAATTTTGCGTTATTCTCAACATTTTCAGTGAATGTATTTGTTTATATGCTTTGTATATGTTGACATGTCAAAATAAAGTTAAGGAATTGGTTGGTAGAGAATTGTTTATTTGTGCTTCTTGAGCCTCTCCATGATATGAACACTGATGACGACAGACACCATGATGATCAGACCGACAGAGAACACGACTGTCTTCACCAGACACACAGAGATACCAGCAGAGACACACTCTGAACCTGAAACACAACAAAACAGCTAGTTTAATTACAAAACTGATCTACACTGTGACACTACAGCAACAGGAGTGGAAGCAATTAAACTGAGTCATTTAATTCTTGTTATCAATTTTCAGTTCAATTCAATTCAGTCCAAATGGGATTAATTGGCATAAACAGACATTTAAATTGAAATCAGTAAAATCAGAATCATAAATACTTTATATATAATTATAAACACAAATATATCTATATACTGATAAGTAAGAAAAAAAACGTTACTTCTTGCTGCATGTTGAGGGCAGAGATGTTCAGTCATTTTAATATCTTTGGTCCAGTTGACCTTGTTGCTATGGTTACAGATGATTGAGTTATTCACCAGGTAGACATGGAGAGAAGATGTTGTGAACTCTGATTGCTCTCCTCCCTCCTGACTGCAGGTTCTGGTGACACATCTAAAAGTGCTGCTGATGTGAGAGTCCTGTGTACTGCAGGTCACAGTGAGGTTACAGGAGTCTGAGCTTCTGGACACAGAGTCCACCTTCAGGTTAACTGGAGACACTGCATCTGAGGATGGAAGTTTGTGTGAAATGTTTTAGAAACATGACAGCAGAAACTCTCTATTAGTGTCTGAAATGTTCACAAACCTACCTTGAACTGTGACATTAGCAGTATAAACTCCACTGTCTGCCTCTTGTAGATTCTTCACTTTCAGAGAGTAATCATTCTCAGACAACTCAACTCTTCCAGTGTTAGCAGGGAGGACTGTTGGTTCTTTACTAGTTGAAAATATTATTGAATTTATTGAAGTTCCACACAACAGAAAAAACGTCCTGAAGAACATCAGCTTTCTTGAGATTCAGAAGAACATCATTTCCCTTCTGCACAAACACAGGAGTCACAGCACTGGACCCTGTAAAAACACACATAATAGCATAAAGTTACACACAATATATGATTATTTGGTCAATACTGAATGTTACTCCATTCCTAGTTCATGTCTAAAGCAGGCTTCATATTTCAACCAGTGACCATCATAGTGTTACATTAAGAAATTAAGTTTATCAAGGCTTGTTTTTCTACTGTTGCTCCTGTGGGAAAAAGTGCTTCACCATTCTTGTCTAAACTACCACAACTGCTTACTTAGCCTACTTAAAAACATTAAACTTTCTTCAACCTTTTCCTCCTTTTTTCCTCCTTCTCACCCACACTAATGTAGACCAACTTTGAGGCTTTGCTTCCTCTGCCCATGTGTCAAATAGGCTTTGAGCAAGACCTGAGTGTGTATATGAGAGAAACATGCAAGTCACTTTGGATCTCACATTATAATAACATTTACTTCAATATATTCAGTAGGCTCATTTCCCAGGTTGTACATCCTCTCCTTGCCCCCTCTCCTAGCATCTTAGAACAAGAATTTCGTTTTTTTCTGAGTTTAACATCAGAAAATTGCAGGTCATCCAGGATTTTATGTCCTTAAGACATGTTTGTAATTTAGATAATTGATTAATTTCATCGGGCTTGATTGATATAACTGCGTACTATCTGCATAACAGTGAAAGTTAATGGAGTGATTCCTAATAATGTTGCCTAAAGGGAGCATATATAAAGTAAATAGTATTGGTCCAAGTACAGAACCTTGTGGAACTCCATGACTAACTGTAGTATTTATTGAAGATTCATCGTTAACATATACAAACTGCGAGCGATCTGATAAATATGACTTATAGGGCTTAGCGGCCACATAAGTGGACAGCACTTTTTAGCTCTTATGTCCACAATTGTGTTCACTTTTGAATTGGGGGTGTTATGGTACGAATATGGGTACTTACACTACCATATGGTGGTGTCAGAAATTTCTATCACACTACGGTGCCAATTCAAAATGGCGAGAAAATTCAAGTGGTAGCTCCATACACAAACGTCGACCAGGTAAGAAGTTCTGTCATATTTCATGGCTTATTCTGATTTAGATACTTATAAAAGCCTTGTACATTTGTCATGACATGCAAATTTGAAAAAAAGTGTAAAAATAGCAACTTTGTAGGTCGCTAAACATGATGTACACATAAGTTTACTCATGGACTGATACTCCTCGAAACAGCTAATATGCTAGTAAACATGCACACATGTAAAATAAGAAAAACTCTGGTGCAGCTAAAAACTGTACATGGTCCCAATGAAATAAATAACAATTAAATCACTAAATACATACATACATACTTAAATTAGTTGGGTTGAAAATGTTAGTAAAAATGTGCACATGTAAATTAGCTTACAGCTAACTCTGGTGTAGCTAAAAAGCAGCATATTGTCCCATTGGAATAAATAACAAATAAATAACGCAAACCTACATACATAAATTAATTTGTATTTGATTTTGTCATGTTTTTATTTACGGAGCGTTTTTCTGTGCAAAGAGCATTGGAGCTACCCCCTTTTGGTCGTAAAATCAGCCGTCCCACTCGGGGCTCCTCACAGTACACCGAGCTAAACGAGGGTGAATGTACGACTCGCAAAACAAAGATGGCAGATATATTTTCTTTGTATTTGTACTAGGTTGGTCGTTTTAATGTCGATTTTAAATGCTCCTACACACTTGTTTACATTGCTGCTTTAGTCCGGTCACCAATTTATGCATTGCACGGTGTTGCTGTGCGTGCAATACAATGTAAAGTTTTGTTTTCTAGCTGGTTTGCTTAATAGGCTAATGTAGCTAACAATAACACTAACCTGCCACTGACCCTGGTGGCCCCTGGAGGCCCCTGGAGGCCCCTGGTTGCTCGAGACAAACGCCACAGCACTTGTTGACATTGAAATAGACGAAAATGGCAAAATATTATTGAAATGTAAGACTTGCAATAACGGAATTACTTGAAATGTTAGTGTTTCTGTAGAAAAACGTTTTTATTTCACATTGAGCTTGTTTAGATGAGCCACAAGCAATAACATGACAGATGCTGCACTGGTGGCGTCCATGTTCTTTCCGACTCGTAATGCCCAAAGACAAATGGAACTCTATAAGTGGTACAAGCCAGGCAATTACATCACGTTCTCGCGTCAGAGCAACTCGGGTGGGGGATTTACGAGACAAATGGATCGCACCATAAGTCACATTCCTCCTCCAACTCCTCTCCTCTCAGACTCTGTGAAGGTCAATCAATCAGGTGACCTCTGGGCCTCTGTAAGCAGGCCTGGTCCTTCAGTCCTCAGTGATCGCAGCCTTTAACATGTTCCCTTTTTTACATTACCAATTAGAGGTGGGCGATATATATCGTTTGCGATAATATCGTCATCGTTGTTTTGATGATGTGCAAATTTCATTATCGAGTATTTAAATTACTTCGCCAAAAATATTTAAACGCGCGCGGAAACTCCTCACATCCACTGAATACACGGTGCAGCAACGCTCTCTACAGCATGGCAGGATTCAGTCACATGACTAGTGATCACGTGACCTCTCACTAGCGTCCTCCTTGCAACAGTTTAGCAGCGCGTTGTGATGGTAGAGAGAAAGACTAAGAACAAGGCTGTCAAATGAATTATAATTTAGTTTAGGTTTAGGGTCCATTAAAACGCTCGAATCATATATAGCTGCTACTCCACCTCCTCGGCCAGTGCCTCGAGGAATGTGAGTATTAATATGACTGGGGGGGTGGATTCATTTAGGCTAACATACTCCTCGTGGGACAACCAGGTCTCAGTAAGACAAAGTAAATCAATATCATAATCTGATATTAATTCATTAACTAAAACAGCTTTAGAGGACAGAGACCTGATATTTAACAGCACACATTTCATTCTCTTATTTTGTGCTACTGAGGAGTTGGTTTTAATTTTTATTAGATTTTTATTAGATTTTTATGTTTAACTTTTTATTTCTTTCAATAATTTAGGTGGTCGGGGGACAGACACAGTCTCTATCGGGTTTTGGGTGGGTGACTGTTCTAAAGAAAGCGCAGAGAAGTATGTAAGACAGCAGCTCTGCTTCCTGGTCCCAACTCTGGACTGTCAGGTTTTAGAGATAAACTTCGCCATATTTCTAGATAAGAGAGCCGCTCCATCCAAAGTGGGATGGATGCCGTCTCTCCTAATCAGACCAGGTTTTGCCTAAAAAGGCTTCCAGTTATCAATGAAGCCCACATCGTTTTCTGGACACCACCTCGACAGCCAGCGGTGGAATGACGACATGCGGCTATACATGTCATCACTGGTCACATTGGGGAGGGGTCCAGAGAAAACTACGGAGTCCGACATAGTTTTAGCATACTTACACACCGACTCCACATTAATTTTAGTGACCTCCGATTGGCGTAAACGGGTGTCATTACCGCCGACGTGGATAACAATCTTACTGTATTTACGTTTAAATTTAGCCAGCAGTTCAGACAGCACATACAGGCTTTGCGTTGTAATCGTAAAATAAAATCTGAAGTCGTGGTTCTCAGTTCATAAATCACAATGAATTAATAACTTTTAATTAGACATCATTATTATCATTATCATTATCCTACCTGGTGCCTCAGTGCAGACCAGCAGTCCCAGTACCACAAATATTATAGAGTCTCTGACTGGTTTCTCTGTCGGACTACAATAAATAATGTGTTCTGTTTTGCTCTAACTGCTGTGTTTTTCCAGACAAACCAGACACAGTTTCACAATGTGAGCATGATGTGAAAAAGGTATCTCCTCTATTAAGAGTTCCTCGTTAAGCTGACTTCTTGATATCTGTTGATAGAGACCAAAAAAGAAACAGATCTGAATGTAAAAGTTCATGAAAAGATGATAAACAAGAGTAGTATTATCTGTTTTAATTAATCCTGTGCATATTTTGAATAATTTAAATAAATAGGCTATTAGCTATATATTTATGTTTTATGTATTCACTGTAGCTAGTTTTTATATATTTCATCAAAGTTAGTTTCATCGTTGGTACCTGGGACAAAAGTTGTTTGAAAGAAGAAGAAAATACTGTAGTTTGTACTGTGTATTTGTTGTATTAGTTCAATTTTTACTTCACTTTAACACTATTCATCTTGGTGGCTCACTGCACTTGAAACCACTTCCTGTCTTGTAGCTCTGTATTTAACACCTCTTCCATTTTTACTGTGACAAGGAAAAAAAAAAACCTGCAAATCAAAAGCCAGTTTTAATGAAGCCCATATATTTAATTGGATGATAAACTTTGCTTAGGACCAATAATATAAAACAAAAAGACGAATGCAAACTGAATGCAGTTCACGTGTTTATTTTAAAACAACATCTTACATGTCCTCCTTCTTGCTCTTGAGAATATAATTGTTGGTTTTATCTGCTCTCTGTCCCCCTTTCAGCACTTCACACTGAGAAGTCTGCTCTGAAATCATTGATGATCTGTGCTGTAGGCCAAAGGGTTTTGTCTCTCATGTGGAAACTGACTTTTAATTCAATTTTACATTTTACAACCATCAACAGGAAACTCTGGGTGCTGGTAAAAGGTCAGCAGCTGTTAGTAGGATGCTTAAATGTAGCCCACTGTCCCAGAATACATTTATATTTTAAAGTTACCAGTAGCAAAACAGAAAAAATAATTTTATAACATTGGTACTTTTCTGTAATACAATACATTCTGGTATGACTGCGATCCTCCTCCCCATGGCTGGAAGTTACTTTAACAGACAGAGCACTTCCTCATTTGTCACGTCAGAATGGATCCCATGTATATGTGTACTCTTTTCTTGGTGTATCTGTGTCAACTGCAAGGTAAAACACACTTTTTCTATTTCATATTTACTATTTTGTTTTTTGTATCGTTGAACTAAATCAGTGAAGTATGGGAGAAGAGGAATATAGTTCAGAGGGTGAGGATAATTAACCATTATCATCTCAAATGGTGTAATCACTTGGCTCATAACTCCAAAACAACTGCACACATTACCTCCCGGGGATCAATAAAGTGTAGGTAGTCTTTTTTTGTATGAAGTTTTGCCATTGTGTTACTACTGCTTCCCTGAAGTTTGGAAAAAACTTAACAGAGCATTTTTTACATAAACGTTACACCAGAAGGGGATTTCCTCACAGCCAATGTGAACAGGAAGGATTACCGTTAACATACGTTTCAAAAAAATTTAACGTGTATCCTAGGTATTTGTCTTTAACATCAAAAGATTAGATTGGAAACAAAATACCAAGCAGTTTAAACCTTGCTGTACTGTATATGATGGATTACAGTACATCTTGTAAGATTGGATCCTTATAACCAAGTGAGATACACAAACAAAGAATTAGGCTACAGTAATCCCAGCAGTTATTGAAATGAAACACACAATGCAAACTGATATTACATTGTAATGTGGAAGAAGAGAGACTCTCATTGTCCATATTTGTAGGAGAATTGCTGCTGCACTTATAACTCACAGGTGAACGGAATATAACTGCTGCTAACCCACTTCCTTTGTCTTTGGTCTGTTCATGGGCTGTGTTCACACAGTTTCCACATACAATTTTCTTTGTATAATGTTCATGAAAAATGAAATGCCATATTTGTATATGTAGTTTGAACATAAATGTGAAAAGTGGTAACCCGAAAGCACACACATATTGTTTTTTTACCCGAGAGAGCAAGCGAATGTCAAGCGGCCCTAAGCAATAAGGAATTTAAGGCAGTCAGGGAAGTACACCTTCACTTATTGTTCCCACCTGGCTATTTACATGCTCTGCTTATCTATAAGCTCTTACTGATTACATATAAGGCACTTCATGACCTTGCCCCCAGTTACATTTCAGATCTCCTTGTTCCTTATTCCACTCCTCGGCCTCTTCACTCCTCAAATTTAGGTCTTTTATCCATTCGCCGCTTTAACTGTAAAACTATAGGTGACTGTGCCTTTGCTGTTTTAGCCTCAACATTGTAGAATAGTCTTCCCCAATCGTTCTGATTTGCTGAATCCGTGGACTGTTTTAAGGCAAGCTTTCTTATAGATCTCCTCTTTGTTTGTTTACTTATCTCTGTCGTTTATCTTTTGATTTATTCTTTCCGCCTTGTTCTATCTTCCATATATTTGTATTTATATGCTCCCTATGTATGTATGATTGGGTATGGTTATGTATGTACACAACATTTTGTACCTCTATGTCTAGTGTTACCAACCCGCTGACTAAAACAGCTTTGCTAACATTCAGTATTGACCAAATCATCATAAATTGTGTATAATTTTTATTTTATTATGTGTGTTTTACAGGGTCCAGTGCTGTGACTCCTGTGTTTGTGCAGAAGGGAAATTATGTTTATCTGAATGTCACAAAAGCTGATGCTCTTCAGGACCCTTTTTCTGTTGTGTGGAACTTCAATAAAAAGGATGTTTTAGTAAGATTTTTACCTGGTAATAAACCAACAATTCTACCTGCTTACACTGGAAGAGTTGAGTTTTCTGTGAATGATTATTCTCTGAAAGTGAAGAATCTACAAGAGGCAGACAGTGGAGTTTATACTGCACGAGTGACAAGGGATAGAGAGGAAATAACTGAATACAACGTCACAGTTCAAGGTAGGTTTGTGAACATTTCAGACACTAATAGAGAGTTTCTGCTGTCATGTTTCTAACATAATAATGTGTCTGCAAAGGGGAGGGATATAAAATCTATTTTAATAATTGTATATATAATAATAATTTTATATTTCAGTGCAAACTGGTAAAATAAGCAATGATGAGTTAGTTTTTGAGCTAAATGGTGAATTTTCAGTTCAGCTGTAATATTAACATAAACAAGCTATCATTATTAACCTCTACCTGGGTGGCCTCGTAAAACTAAGACAAAGGTGGTATTTAAAATTGCTGGTTTAGAGATCTTTCGAAAGTGGCTAGTGATGTTTAGCTCCAGCCAGTAGGGTTTAATTGAATTCATTATTATTAAATTATTTATCTTACAGATGATACCAATAAACCTGTATGATTAAAACTGCAGTCTGTAAACAGTATTTATGTTGTTTGACTTAAACCAGGCATCATTTTCTAATCTGGCTTTTTTTTTCTGTACAGATTCTGGACCACTCCACAACGACATCAATGTCATTGTCATTGTGCTTGTTACTGTAACCCACTGGATGTGCTGAAGCCTCCCTACACACCCAGAGACTCTGCGTTTGTGTTTATGGTTGTGATAGGGTGTTTGCGTGGGGAGAGAAGAGAAGCACTGGAGACAGGAGTTCTGGATTGTGGCTGAGACCTGGAGACACTTTGTTGGCACACATTGACAGCTTTCACCTCTGGTCCTCTACACTGGCTGCTGGCTCCGTCACCCTTACACCCTTATAATATTTCTTACAAACTATATTCTAGTGCAAAGAAACAAATATTGTGTCAAAATAATGCTCTACAACTGAAAATGATAAATTACAGGAAGTGTAAATTAAATACGGCACTCTATGACTTCATAAAAATAAATTAAATGACTTAAAACAGCAAACTGAAAGAATCATGCTTCATCCTGCACTATTTCCACTGAACAGGTGCTCCATTCATGCACAGCAAGCTAGCCAACATTACAGCCAAGGTTTTCATACAAAAATACAAGTGTTCACTTCTTAAACCCACACCGAAATGTAAACTAACATGTAAATTAACACATCAGATGAACATAATGAATATATGGGTGATTTTAGTTAGGATATTTTAAAAGGATGCAGGCCGCCACTAACAACCAAAATGGCGTCCCGCACGGCATGAATAACCCAACTACGGTGTCGCGTAAGGGACCAACATCCACATTTGCTGTATTCACAGAGCAATAGAGGGCGCAACAGTGTCACCTTGTGGAGTATTTAGGCTACTACCTTACATTACCATTACAGTTCTCTGCATTATTGCAGTCTCTGTAGTTTGTTATCGTCAAAAGAGAAGAACATGTAAGTCCAAGTGTGCATTGTAACATAGAATTACAAAATAAAATCTATAAAATCCTATTTGTTTACATCCCCAGGGGGAAGGAAATGGGTTATCAGTGAACATTGCTGGTTGTCAAAGCACATTTTTTTTGATACAAGCTATTCCTACAACTATCAATCAGTATCAGTGTTGCATCACAATAAATAAAAATCCTAAATATGGAAGTGAAATATGAAGCTTTAAATCCAAAATTTGGACTCTCAAAATGAAATGTAAATTAAAGCAACATGTATTTTTTATGACCTGCAGACAAAATAAAGAACACCAAAAATACAGAGGTAAGTGTCAAGTTTTGAAACTGGATTTATTTATTTATTTATAGAAATATTTTCAAAATCAAAAGCTGGAGCCTCACATACTTCTATTGGCTACCCCTGTCCGCTCCAGTCACTATACATTTTACTGACAAGGTGGTCAGATTTACTGTACATGACCTGTGACTCCTCGCAACTAACTTCTGCATCTACCTGCTGTTCCAGGTCATGTTGCTTTCTCCCACATGCACACGTCACTGGTTATTCTGCTTCCTTGTGTTCAAATGTCCTGCTTCTGACCAGATAAACCTGATGATGCACCATCCACTCAATCTGCAATGTGTTTCTTTATTCTGCTCAAGTGTTGTTATTATAGTTTTACCATCATTTGATGCAGTTTTAGAAACAATTTCTGAGAATACTGTGACACAAACACTAAAACAGCAAATACATGTTCCAAAAGGTGTTGTGTTCTCAAAACTCTTCATACAATTATTAATTAAGAAAAAAAACATTAAGTCCTGTATTTTCTTCACTGCTTGCTTCTGTTTGTTGGCTCACATTAGGCAACACAGGCAACGTGACTTTATACTGAGCCACAAATGTTGTACTTCTGCTTACACACTGAATGATGAGAATATTGTGAGCAGAAGACTCTTTGGTGAATCTGCACTCAAGAAGAGAAAATGTGTAATTTCCATATATTTTCCATCTTTTTATAAATGCAATGTACTGCATGTGTTGTCAAAGCCGTGTGAATGCTTTCTTTATTTGCCACATCTTTTTGGACACAGTGAAACCATGTTCAGGGCCTTACTGCTCTTGATGAAAAATGCCTAAAATTCTGTTTTTACAGCTGTTTTATGTATTTCAGATAAAACTACAAATTGATTATAATGTTATGAAAATTATTCCTCTCACTTTTGTAGCCAATGATACAAAATATTGTAGTTTTTGATGGATATCTGTTAATAGTGAGATTACTTCACATGTTGATGCAGTATATCAACACCATTAGAAATACAGTGGAGAGTAAAAATAGCAACCTTTACTAAAAATGTTGTATATTATGTATTTTGCAGATGCAAGCTTTGGCCCAGCCTAATGGTGCTTCAGATCCTACACTGCCCTCCTTGGTGGTAACTGACACTGGACCGACTGAGACTAAAGTCGACCCCCTACCAGAGAGCTAGTATGCTCAGGTAGAAAAGCCTGCCAGCTCCTGAAACAGTTTTCACCACCTTCACACCTTGTACAGTATGTGTCCTAGTTTACATACAGAGAGTTGAAAAATAATTTAAATAATCTCCTGTAAGGGATATGCAGTATTATAGGTACTTGAATAGTTTATTGTTTCTAAAAACAGACTTCAACTGAAAATCCCATTTAAAATCAAATGATTTATCCTTGTAGAGTTGAAAAACATTTCAATAATTGTTCCGCTAAGTTCAGTTCATAATTGTTATTCATTGTTGTTGTCCATTCAGTGTATCAGTGGTCCCTCCGATGACTCTGATGAGCTCTGATCGATTTCTTGGTGAAAAACTCACAATATTAGATTCAGATTGGATTAAACTTTATTGTCATTGTCATTGTGTACAAGTATGAGACAATGAAATGCAGTTTAACAGTATAAAGTAAGTAAAAAGAGATCAGTCTCACAACATCTTTTGGCTTCATTAATTCATAAAAGATAATTATACAGCTTTAACTCGTGTCCAATAATGGTGTATGTACCAGAAAGTGCTTTACTTAGTTAAAGAAAAAGATAAAATATTGTCAATTATCAGTGTTTTGGTCACATTAACATTGCATTTTATTAAATGTTTATAAATCTTTCTGAGACCATTGTAAATAGGACCACAGTATTACATATAGTGTATTGCCCAAGGCTATTTATTGTATGCTGTTCTTTTTTCAATATAATATATAAGAATTTTCTATCATGGTCATCTCTGTACAATTATTTTATTTATAAAGGAAGCACAGTCATTATTGGGTATAATCAATGGGTAATCAAGAAAAATGAACTGCATTTGTTTTATTTTTTATTTCCCTCCTAAAACATTTGCAACGGCCAATTTTCACAAATATTTTATATCCTGTATTGGTTCCATCCACGTTTTCTGGCTTGCAGACTTCTACTTCCTCTACTTACATTTCTTGGTGTGTTACAGCCACCAACTGTCCGTCAGTGAAATAGCATGAAATCAGTGGCAGGAATGTGCAGACTTGGACATACACAATACAAACAAAACAGAGACTCACTCACTCATAAAACAACTGCTCCATAATGCTGCTAGTGATCAAAAACTCCACTGGGTTCCTTTAACTGAAGAATGTGAGATACATCTAATATTGCTCCACAATGGACATGGAAAGTTATTTTTCTAACCTTTTTGTATTATCCTCAACATTTTCAATGAATGTATTTGTTTACATGGTTTGTATATGTTGAGATGTCAAAATAAAGTGAAGAAATTGGTTTGGTAGAGAGAATTGTTTATTTGTGCTTCTTGAGTTTCTCCATGATATGAACACAGATGACGGCAGACACCATGATGATCAGCCCGACAGAGAACACGACAGTCTTCACCAGACACACAGAGATACCAGCAGAGACACACTCTGAACCTGAAACACAACAAAACAGCAAATTTCATTACAAAACTGATCTACACTGTGACACTACAACAACAGGAGTGGAAGCAACAAATCAGTTATTCTTCTCACTGTATTTGAATAACAGTTTGTGTACTTTGTAGTTGACTCCAGTACTGTAATTCCTACATTTCAAAATACATGCATAGCGCAGCTGAGTTTTTACAGACATTATTGTTAAAAACCATGATGATAGTTTTATGTTAATGATTGTTAATTTTACAGATATTTTTCAAACAATAACATTTAAGGTCTGGTCTATATGCTTAATGCATACTGTAATATAGTAACAGAGACAAATAGCACGTTCATTGGCAAAAACTAACATTGCATGGGTGGAAAGAAATGTGTCAGTTCATCATTTAACTGAGTCAATTCATTGTTGTTATCAATTTTCAATTCAATTCAGTTCAATTCAAATGGGCATAATTTGGCATAGGAAACAGGCGTTTAAATTGCAAAAGCAAATGCAAAATCAGAATCAGAAATACTTTATATAAACTTATAAACACAAATATGTCTATTTTCAGATTAGTAAGAAAAACTTCAAAGTAAAAAAAAACAAATGTAGAATAAATTCAGAATTTAAAAAACTTGTTTGATTCTTATTAACTACAATCTGTGCATTATTATCAGTTAGTTGTTTTTTATTTCAGTCTTACCAGCATGTAAAGGGCAGAAATGTTCAGCCATTTCAATGTCTTTGGTCCAGCTGACCTGGTTGCTATGGTTACAGATGATTGAGTGATTCACCAGGTAGACATGGAGAGAAGCACCAGATGTTGTGACCTCTGATTGCTCTCCTCCCTCCTGCCTGCAGGTTTTGGTGTCACATCTAAAAGTGCTGCTGATGTGAGAGTCCTGTGTACTGCAGGTCACAGTGAGGTTACAGGAGTCTGAGCTGTTGGACACAGAGTCCACCTTCAGGTTAACTGGAGACATTGCATCTGGGGATGGAAGGTTTGTGTGAAATGTTTTCGAAACATAACAGCAAAAACTCTCTATTAGTGTCTGAAATGTTAACAAACCTACCTTGAACTGTGACATTGTATTCAGCTAGTTCCTCTCTATCCCTTGTCACTCGTGCAGTATAAACTCCACTGTCTGCCTCTTGTAGATTCTTCACTTTCAGAGAGTAATCATTGACAGAAAACTCAACTCTTCCAGTGTAAGCAGGAGAGACTGTTGGTTCTCTACCGGGTGAAAATCTTACTAAAACATCCTTTTTATTGAAGGTCCACACAACAGCAAAAACATCCTGAATAACATCAGCTTTCATGACATTCAGAAGAACATCATTTCCCTTCTGCACAAACACAGGAGTCACAGCACTGGACCCTGTAAAAACACACATACCACAATAAAAATTATACACAATTCATGATTATCTGGTCAATACTGAATGTTACTCCATTCCTAGTTCATGTCTGAAGCAGGCTTTATATTTCAACCAGTGATCATCATAGTCACTTTGGACTTCACATTATGATAACATTTACTTCAATATGTTCAGTATCCTAAGGACTCTCTTATTTCCCAGTTTGTACATCCTCGCCCCCTCTCCTAGCATCTTAGTCCCTCTCACCAGAGATGAGAACGGAGGAAGCGAGGAGGAACACCGAGGAGAGAAGAGTCAAGGCAACAGGCATTTAACAAAATGATGTCCTTGTTTCAGAATCAACTACTGCACAGCTGCATCATCTTCCCATTATTTTCTTATAGACTACTGCTGTATTTTACTCTGTCAGGTGAGCATAACAGTGTTCATAACAGTAATTATATATTTACTGTTAATTCAATTCACAACTTGGAATAATGTGACAAGAATTCAGTCTATGGATGTCATAATAATGTTCCCTACTGCGCCAAACTCACTTTAGGAAACAGGACATCTTAACAATGCTTAACATGTCCGTAACAACAAGGTACTCTATCATAAGATAAAGTGTGTCAGATGTCCACAGTCTTCTTGTCAATTCAGCAACAATATAATCCATAAAGTTTCTAACTATTCTGTCCCCTGAACTCGGTACAGTATCATGAGAGGCAGACCATATTATTTCTCACTAAAATGCTGGTGTTGGATTAAATATATGCAGAATTAAACACAGACTCTGTTATTATGTGTGTGTTAGTATTTAAGGGATGTTGGCAATTACCATAGTAACTACCTGTATGAAGAACAATGAAAAGACTTCAGCACAGGAAACACCTGTGTATTCTCACATGAAATGATTGTATACTTCACTGCCCTATACCACTAAATCCTAAACTCTGGTCCTTCAAACAGTTTTTTCTTAAATTCTTCACAAAGAAGCAGGAAAATATTTATGAAATGACTCCATTTTGTGTTTCTTTCCTTTTAAATTCTTAGAAATCTGTCCCTGTCTTTAAATATATAATCATTTGGTTGATGTTTTGCATGGTTATACATACAAAGGAAGGCTCAATAATCTTCTCTTCCCAACTTCCTGATAAAATAGCACATTGTATCAGACAGCACATACAGGCTTTGTGTTGTAATCGTAAAATAAAATCTGAAGTAGTGGTATTCAGTTCATAAATCACAATAAAGAAGTCTGACCCTGCATTGCTCTATCTGTTAATAACTTTTCATTAGACAGTGTCATCATCCTACCTGGTGCCTCAGTGCAGACCAGCAGTCCCAGTATCACAAAGATAGACATTATAGAGTCTCTGACTGGTTTCCCTGTCGGACTACAGTAATGTATGTGTTCTGTTTTGCTCTAACAGACACACCACAGTGTATTTTTCCTTTCAAACCACACACAGTTTCACAATGTGAGCATGATGTGAAAAAGCTAACTTCTCTATTTAGAGTTTCTCTTCAAGCTCTTTGACTTCTTGGTATTTGTTGATAGAGACTGAAATGGAAACAGATCTGAATGTAAAAGTTTATGAAAAGATGATAAACAAGAG